AGGCAAAGCTGCAAAGTAAACAAAGTGTTTCACTGTCACTCTCTTCCCAAACTTTAGTAACACAGAGCTTTAGTAATTTTAATCCGTACGGAAACCACGGAGAGAGCCATTGGTTTGGTTCTTGGTTGTCAGCACTTACTTATTACCACCAAGTCTCCCTCTTCTCTTGTCTCCTGTTCCCATTTAACTTTGCCATTTCCTTTCATTACGTTTCATGTAAATTTCACGACTTCTGTCACTCACTCAGCCAACAAACTAATTGTAAATACCTTAACAAACGCAATGGATGGTTGTAAGCAAAACTTGAAACGAAACTGGAAACTACATTCTGGGAGAAGGAGTGAGCGTGTTGCAGGAATAACATTTGAGGCGACAGTGGCCGCGGAAGCCGTGGGGACATTAACATTGTGGGATAGGAGAGGGAGGGGTTTATATAACATGGGCAGATGATGGGGACATTGAACAACCGTGGGGACATTGTTCCCACCCTTCCGCGGCCACTGTGAGGCGAAAGGGTTGACATTTCCATGCAGAAAATGCACGATTTCTTTCCACTTTTAGTTTCCATTTACAATAATGACAAGTATCCATTCCGCGAGTGGTGGTATTTTTTTGTTTTGCTTTTGGCGACAAGTGACAATGTCAACGTGATGAGGTGGCGATTTCTTCTGCGGTTCGTAATGGCATCCAAGAAGTAAATGATATTTGTAAACATGAAATTCTTCTTAATAGCGACTTTATAAATAGCTTTTCACCAAATAAATGGGAAAATTGCGGCCTGTGTCAATATAATTATGACGGGACATACAAATATTTGACAATTAACTGTAATCCAACTTTAATTAGGTGCAATGACATGAATAATTTGGTAAAGGTCTCAAACAGGTGTACATACAGTACCGGCTCCACTTGAGCAATACTCACCTAACCTTTATTTAATTTGTACAATGGTACCTTCAATTTTACCATTATTTACTCACTGTTGACATATCCAGAGTCTACTATTGACAAGGTTGAAAGTCAACCGATAAGTCACCAATAAGCGCAAATAAAGGCGACACAAGACAAAAGAAGGCACCACAAAGTATACGAGTGAGCAATAAAAGTCTTCTCTCGATTCAAGTGCGAGCTGACGAGTGGAGATGTAATAATGTGTTTCTAAGTAGATGTGCACATAATATTATCACTGTCCACCAGAGAAAAAAGAAAATTAGAGGCGAAACCCAATATTTGCCCCGAGTCTCATTTCACTCACGAGAAGAAGAAGAATTTAACAAGGAGTGAAGTGAATTGAGATGAGAGAATGCACAAAAATGAGAAAAGCCAATATTTGACTAGCGGAGGAGAAGAGAGGATCTTTCCTCTAGGCCAAAAGGTGACTTTTGATTATTACAACAACAACAGGTAGTAGTTAGTTAATGGCCTCCGAGTTAGTAAACTTGGAGGAGGGCGAATATCTAAATGCTCAATTCCAAATATGCCAAAAAGTGAAATATGAATTAAACGAGGTGAACTTGGAGAAATGGGAGGTCTCCTCTCGTTAATCACCATCACGAAAGGATGCATCCGTCAATCATGCTTTATCTGGCGTGTATAAATACCTACTGCAAAAAAGCATGAGAGCCAAATATGCAAATATTTATGGCCAAAGAAATGCATTTTCTTAATATGCCCACTTTTAGAAACTTTTTCGATTTGCTTAAATTATTCAAATGAATTTATGTAACGTTACAGATTACATTTTCACAATAAAAGCAACCAAAGCATATGTATGCACTTCACTCACTTTTCATACAAACCATAACACAGTGTCAGACGAGGAGACGGGTCTTGTCAACTTTTCATAATATTAAATATTTCCTATTTCTCGTTTATGCCACTTTTGGTGAAAAACATGCAGCCAGCGTTTGACTTATCTCGCATTGACGCAACGTAACTTGTTGGCCTATCTGGCTGGCTGGCATTTTACCGAGAAGAATGTTTCGTGGCCCATCCCAGAAGAGAGTCACTAGTCATTCAGGTAGATCCAAGTCAAATATTTGTTTTACCTTTTTTATTCTTTTAGAGAGAAACTGGTAGTGGCACTGGCGTTCACCTTTCCATGGTTAAATAAGTACTCTTTCATCGTGTTGTATACATATACTACCCGATACTGCAACCACTGCAATGTGTACATGCGATTACCTATATGTCAGTGTGGCTTGGCTGCCGGTGGGGAATTGGATTTTTCTACTAAAAACAATGTTATTGTGTAATATGGAGAATATAAGCGGCGGAGACGACCCTACCTACTTTTTGTAACTTTCTTTGCATGCAATATACACCGAAAACCTTCGCCATCGCCAACCATTTATTAGTTTTTCTTGATGCTGACAACTGAGACTAAAACCCATCGTTAACCCTTCATCATCATTTTGGCAGTTACCATATTTAATTTATGTTCTTCCGTCTCCACCCTTAAGCAGTGTGATATGAACAATGGGACGGTACAGGAACGCTATATGATGGTCAAGGCGCTAGAGTACCTCTTCATATACCGAAACACTTACCTACCTACCTGCGCGCCGTATAATATCGTAATAATAACAAACAAAAAGTGCATTGTAACAACAAAGTAATGTTATTTAATGGTAATGTCAGCGATGAGTTGGTTTTTGGATAATTATTTTACTCCCTTAAAACTACAAAGGTTGAATTTGGACCAATTTTACTTGTCCGTCAAGTCCACAGAGAAAGACATTTCCTTTCCGATGCTGACATAATTATATTTTTTTACCCTTCCGTCGCTGCTAAAAAATGGAGAAAATGCATGTTCTTTAAGTTCTTTTTTATGGAATGACTCCTCTCCTTAATCCATGTCGTATCACACATATTTGCCAAGTAACAAGTCCTAAACCGCTTGGATTTAACACCAAACTACTCGAATATCGATGTTGGGTCACAGCAGGAGACTAAAAGTTCACAAGTCGGTCGGTCGGTTCCTTAATGTTGCCATGCTTGAAAAGGTAATTGAGAACAGAAGAGTGTACAATGGAGCAGTCTCAGGTCATAAAGTGAGACCGAAGAAGAAGAAGAAGAACAAAGTCGGAATTTCGATTGGATGGTTCCCCCTGGAATTTTCCTTCGTAGGAGCTGAACTAACCTAAGACATTGTTCCTCTTCTTCAGGTCTGTCGGCAGATATGGGTTAGACCTAAATACTAAACAGTAGGCATAGGTCTTTGGACCGCTGCTCATAACTTTGTTAGGTAATAACTATCTGGACCTGGACCTGGCTGGCTGGCTGCTGAGTCCGCAGAGAATTTCTATTATTTCAAGGAAATTGTCGGAGCGAAAGCATTTAAAACAATCAGAACTTGCTGGTTATGGGCAGGGAAAAGTCTCGTGGGTTAAAACAGAAGGGACTCTGTGAAATCTGTGAATGCTTTACTTGTTTAATTTCCTCCTCCTCCTCCTTCTCTAAAAGGCAGCAGACATCGAAAGTATGTATGTATAATCGTTTAGTTTGTCTCATTTTCTCATCAATTTCCAATATTATGTTCACATTTAAGAACGTTTAACTTGTTGTTGAAATGAAACCTTGTTGGTTAAAACCAGTTAAACTTTTTTTATTTCCATTTTTATTTTGTTATTTTATGGACACAAGACAATCTCGCATGCAGAAGGGTAAACCAGGTCCAGTTAGTTTAAGGAGTGCATAACTCCCTTAAAACAATGTAGACATAACTTTACGTATGGATATACAAACTTGTCTTCTGAATCTTTCCATGATGGTTTGGTTTGGCTGGTTTTGTTTGTAAATGAAGCATCTCCATGGCCAGAGAGAGAGTTTCTGATGATGAGTTTTCTTGTTCTTATACCTTATTCAACTTCTCGGCTGAAAGTTACGACTCCAACTTTTCAGGTCGACCTCTCCCAAACCAACCCGTTATATTGGAAGAAAACTCATAAAGTATCAACGATCGCCTATAAACGAACCCTTTTTAATTTCCAAAATGCTAATTTTATGACTCATTTATGATTTTATGTGTGTGGTGTGGTTAGGAAAACTTTTCTCCGTCGTCGTCCTCATTTACTTGTAATATAAAATGACGAACGAACTTGTAAATTGGACCCATCATAAAATAAAACAATCCAAATTTAAAGGAAGAAGACGAGCACATATCTTTTCGTTGTGCCATTAAAACTTGAAATATTCCGACGACTCGTCACTGATCCACATTTCCTCCTTTTCTTGTTAACCTATAACCTGTAACCCACTGACATTTCATTGCATAAATATAATGCAATTCAGTATAAAAATGTATCAATTTCAGGTTTGGTCATTTTTATTACTAAATATTATTCAATCCAAAATTCAATACTTTCTCACACGATGAAAATAAAAAAAACGTGAGAATTACTGAAAACCCAAACTTTCTGGAAATATAATACCACTTCGACCTCCATGAGATGGACCTGACCTGCAATGCAATGCATTTTCCTTTCCCTCCATAATAACATTCTTTCTCAAGAATTCACACAATAAAGTGTGAGGATAAGACGCAAAGAATGCATTTTTCATGCCCAATTTCTCAATAATCTCAATTTCCTTCTTCCCTAACCTAATCCCTCAAATAATTGAACTCACCCTTCTTTGCAAGAGGAAGAAAATTAATGATAATCTGGAATCTAAAATCAAAGCATACCCCACACATTCACGCACCCCTACTACTACACCTACGACAGCTTAAATATCTTTAACAACCACCTTTTTAACAAGGTAGACTATGGCACAGAATTACATGCCATTAGTCATTATTTAGTATACATAAAGAGAGTAAGTAAAGAAGAAAAAATGCTCTAGGCAAGTCCACCACTTGTTCCCACTATGTAGATACACGTCCGTACGTATATATTTATATGTGTATGGTCTCATCCTTTTAGCACAAAACTTACTACACAACATACGTAGACGTTCACGTTCATCAAGTCTAATCTCTTTTAATAATATTATTCTAGATCACGAAGACGAACTCCTCCGTGGTGGTGAGCAGTCATTCAGATTCTGAGAGAGAAGCAGTCCAAGCGTCCACCTTTCTTGACGTAATAAAAGGTAGTAGTACTGCACCATACCACACAGCTCTTCTCTCTTTTAGTTTTACACACAAGTAATAAGTAAGTAAGATTCTTACTTACGGTCAGAAGAAGAAGGACCCACCGACCGACCGACGGACCAGTATTACCAACTCCCTGAAGCTGCTAAACCAACAAAGTGTATAACGTAAAGACGACGAGAGGAGCTATTTAGAATTTTACCCTCCGTATTATACACAACGCCACAGAACAGAACTTGTATGTCCGTACTGCTTCATGAGTTGATTCCTCATTCGTTTCGAGTAAGGCTGTTGGTTGGTAAAATACGTAACTTACGACCATCTCCCACCACCACCGACCGACTAAAAAGGGAGAAAGGAAAAGAGACCTCGACTGCTGGTAATCCAGTGGAATCCGGCAGACTGGAAGTACAAGTTGGACGGGAAGGACGCGTCCGCATTCGAGCTCCTCCGCAGAGCTGTAAAACATTTTAAAGAGGGGAGAAAAGACCTTCTTCCCACTTTGTACTGACTGAGAGAATAACATTTTAAGCTGGTTAATACCAACCCATAACATAATACCGCATCGTGTGGTTTTAGTCAGTTGTAATCTTACGGCCAAAGAAGAAGTGAACACAACACAAAAGTGAACAACAACAGAGAGTTTCTCGAAAAGTGCAGGTGTTTGGAATTGGACTTAATCTTAACTTCCAAAGTTCCTGTGTTCTTTTCCCCAAATTTTTGGTTGGCCTTTTCGTATTTTTGTGTTGTCATCCTTTTCTCAACAAAAAGAGAAACAACGACGAGGTCGTCGCATGGAGTAAAACGCACTTACTGGACACTTAAGACTTTGGAGGACTGCTTAATGAATAGTTTCATATTTTGCACACATCATCACTAAGAAAAGGACTAATGGTCTAAATCCACTCCTACTTGGGCAGTAGTGGAAGGCCACATAAAACTGGGGCAAAGAAATACTTGCTGGGGAAAGTTTTCTGATAGCAGTGAAAATTAACTCGATTACGATGAAACATTTTTCCTGGGGCAGATTGCGATTTGATTAAAATCATAAATTATTCCCAAGTCAAGAATAGTGATTAAGAAGCAATTTGGACTTTTTGAAAGTTTCATTTGGTTTCTTGGTGTGTGTGTGTGCCGTCGTCATCCACCCACCGATAATCAATAATTCGCCAAGTTTTATAAGTATATAAGTGTTTGTGAGAAGGAGGAGGCGATACCCGGAAAAGTTTACTTTGCGCGTTTTTTTTTCACTCATTTTATTAAAAGTAACACTCAACCACCACAAAGTGAATGAGTTAGTGGAAATGTGATCCTGAATTGGTGTCGCAAAAACAAGAGAGAGCCAAGCAAGAAAAGCATGGGGAGGCATCAAAGAAACTTGCAAGAAGAAGGACGAGTTCTATTACAAAGTGCCACCACAAGACCGCGACGACTAATACCACTTCTCCATCGACAAAGCACAACTGGGCAGGATGAAACTACTACCCGGGTAGTCGTACCAGTGGAAGAAGAAACTCAATAATCTGCAAAACCACTGACAACATTTCTCCAGAATTTTATCTCAACCTTTTTCTTCTTCACAATGGGAAGAAAAGAGCTCCCCAGTAGCAGCACTACGACACCAATAATGTTGACTCCAATTCCGACGTTTCGCCTCATAGATTCCCCCGAAAAGGAGCGCAGTAGAAGAAGAAAACCGCAAATGTCATTCCAGCAGAGAAATCTAAATCATGTGTTCACATTTCCCCTATTAATCCCCGTAGTGGTGGCTACCCTGCTCCTATTTATAATCCGCCCTGGGAGTGGGTTACACCCACCGCAATGCCAGTGGGACCTGTATCAAGACATTGAACGATTAAAATGTAATGTGGATCCGGGAAACACCTTGATCGTGGAGGAAGAGGTGCACGGGGTAAGTTTAGAACTGACTCTAATTCTACCCGGATATGTACTTATCTACTATCCGATTATTAGCGGAGACAGATTGCTGGCCAGTGGGGCATTTCTATAACGTTTTGTATTTCCACAGGCCGGACCCGAGCATGCAAAATCCCTCTGGGTCCAATGTAGTGATAATGTTCATACGACGAGTGGTAGCGTAGATAATAAACAGTTGGGAGGAGGGGACGACGGAGAGGAAGAGCTGCAAGTCGACAGCTATTTTGGGAGTGAAAAGACTTCGCTAAAAGTGGCAGGCGGGGACACTGGTGGGGGATTTGTCCTCTCCCATGGGGTATTCATGGCTGGTAATTTCTCCTACTTTCTTTTCACTGTAAATTATGGCTCGATTTTCACAATTACTGGAAAAAGAACTAATAATATTTTTTTCTCTCTCACTTTTTCACCTTTTACAGTTCCAAACCTGCGTGATTTGCGCCTAGAAAATTGTCGCATTGCTGGCATCACGCCTGGCGCCTTGGGGTACCTCCCATATTTGCAAAATTTTACACTCCGTGCTCACACTAGTCATTCTCCGTGGTCATCATCATCTCATGTGCGATCATCCTCTCCAGCCATGTTAGAGATCAAGCCTGGCGTACTCCGAGGACTTCCAGAACTTCGTCACCTCGACTTATCCACTACTAGTCTGAGCTCGCTACCAAACGACTTTCTCTGCTTTCTCCCTTCCCTTAATTACCTCAATCTCACGGGCTCCGGGCTACGAGATTTTCGCTCTATCGGAATACAAATACAAGATCCTACGAATCCTCATAATTGTGCGAATCAAATGCGAATTCTAGACCTTTCAAATAACCACTTCAACCTCCTTCCGCCCGCCACTTTCTCCACTGTTAGTCGACTGGAGGAGCTCAGAATTGATGGAAACTCCATCACTAGTGCGTCCGAGAGAGCCCTACTGGGTTTGAACCATTTAAAAATATTTTCCGCAGCGGGGAATCAACTGTCCTCCCTTCAGCCAGAGTTTTTCAAAGACAATCGTCAACTGCAAGAAATATATTTACAAAAGAATCAATTAAGTGTGCTCGCTCCGGGACTTTTGACCGGGTTGGAACAATTGGTTGTGGTGGACCTTTCGAGCAACGAGTTAACGAGTGAGTGGGTGATTGGTGAAACTTTTCGAGGTTTAGTGCGACTCGTAATTTTAAGACTGGACAACAACAAGCTGACTCGAATTGACTCGGTCTTGTTCCGAGACCTGTACAGCTTGCAAGTCCTCTCACTCGAGAACAACATGATATCTACCGTGACTGAGGATGCGTTCTCCGGAATGTATAATATTCACACGCTGCTACTTTCACATAACCAACTCAAAGTCATTGACACCTTCATTTGCAACGGGCTCGGAGTTCTCTCCTTCCTGGCGTTGGACAACAATAAAATTGAGACCGTTGGGGTGGACAGCTTTAAAAATTGTTCGAATGTGATGGATCTTAATTTCTCGGGGAATAAGTTAACCCAGGTTCCGGAAGCTATTGGAGCGTTGAATCTCATCAAAACGTTGGATCTGGGAGAGAATAAGATTACAGATATTTCAAACGCGTCGTTCGCCTCGCTACCAAATTTGTATGGGCTGCGTTTAACGGACAATCTCATAGGTGAGTATATATTTTTTAACTAATTTACCACCACGTGCATATCGGTTATACCTCGGTTATAACTAGTAGAGCAGCATCTTTCCAAATAAATCCACTTTTCGTCGCACAAACTAAACAACACCAAATTGTTATTAGGTCACATACCAAAAGATGCATTGTCCAATTTGCCCTCGCTCAAGATTGCTAATTTCGCAAAGAATAAAATTTCCTCGATCGAACAAAAGGCTTTTGATAACAATCCAAACCTCCAGGTAATAATTTTTGTTGTTTTTTAGTCCACTTTTCTTATCTTCTGATTTTCAATGCGCATAAATATTTATTACACACGGACTTCATTTTTTCTTCATAATTCGTAGGCTCTCCGCGTTGACAATAATGCCATCAAAGGAATGTTTGGCCTATTCAAAAATATTCCTAACCTCTTGTGGCTAAACATTTCCGGAAATAAATTGGAAGAGCTTGACTACAAAGAATTTCCCCCACGCATCCAATGGGTCGACCTTCGTTCCAATATGATATCCAAACTTGGAACCTGTCTGGAGATTGACAATCTGAGAATCCGTAACCTCGATATCTCACATAACCTCATAACTGAGATCGGTCAATCCAATTTACCCGACTCCATCGAGAACTTAATCATGAGCCATAATCGTATCCATCAAGTGCAACCGTACACCTTCTTCCGCAAGCCGAACATTACACGCGTTGATTTATCAAACAATAAATTAGAACGGCTCTCTGAAAATGCGCTCCGTTTGTCTTCTGGAGCGGATGGAGGAGTGAAACCGATCGCGGAGATATTGTTGGGGCACAATCCTCTAATTTGTGATTGCACGCTGCCCTGGTTGAGAGACATGAATAGTGGAGAGACATCCGGTCAATATCCCAACATTATGGATGTCGAGGATGTCAAATGCACTTTACTCTTTGACCGAGGAAATGATCCAGTGCCGTTTATGGATATTGCTCCCAGTCAGTACCTCTGCAAATATGAGTCACACTGCTTCTCACTCTGCAGGTTAGCCACGGATAATTTTATACATTACTAACATTAGACGTACACAAATGGAGTACATTTTCTAACAAAATGCATCAATTTCCACATTAATAGCTGCTGCGACTTTGACCATTGCGACTGTCAGATGAGCTGTCCTAAAAACTGCAGTTGCTTCCATGATGCAGGTAATGTAATATACGTAATATGCTATTACATACATAAATGCAAAGAACTTTAGCTTGTATAAACGAAGATCACATGCATAACAAGGTAACAAATTCATTATTTGCAGAATGGAACACCAATTTGGTAGATTGTTCCAGGATGGAGGAAAGTTCCATCCCTTCGAAAATTCCCATCGACGTGACTCAACTACACTTGGATGGAAACGTGTTCCCCGTTTTGCAGAGCCATTCATTCATCGGGCGAAAGAACATGGAGGCCTTGTATCTTAATTTTTCGCACATTGAAAAAATCCAGAACCGAAGTTTTCACGGATTGAAGGCTCTTCGAGTCCTGCATTTGGAAAACAACTTTATCGAGAGGCTGGATGGGTTTGAGTTTGATGATTTGGACGACTTGGAGGAATTGTACCTTCATCAAAATAGCATATCATTCATTTCAAATCAGACATTTGCTTCGATGGTGGCTCTTAAATTCTTGACCCTTCACGGGAATAGCCTCGTGGATTTGGCCATTTGGGAAGTTGTGTTGCGCGGAGGAGGAAGGGGAATTGGTGGTCATTTAATTCCGAGCAGTAGTGATACTCACATTACTCTGAGGGGGAACGAGTTCTCGTGTGAATGTCAGTTTGCTACCCAGCTTAAGGACTGGTTGATGGAAAACTCGGCCAAAATTAGTGACGCGAATCAAGGTATGTCAACCTTAAAGTTGATTTTTGTCATAATAATATACAGATTGATACTGATGAATAACTTATTTTTCTACATAGTCCATTGTGTGGATCAAGTCTCAACTTCGGCATCTTTATCACCATCTAATAAACAGTCCTCTTTCTCCTCTAATTCTGCTCTAGTGCCACTTTCACCGAGCAGCTCTGGTAGTGTAAGCAGCAGTGGTGGTGGTAGTTCTTCGAGTGGGAAAAGTGCGACAGAGTTGATCGTGGTGAGACTACTGGACCAGAGAAATCACCGGTGTTCTCAGTCCACCGATTTAAGCATTCGTGAACCTACTACCCGTTCCGGGGATGAGTTTGAGTGGTCTGTGTACGTTCCAGTGATTGTGATCAGTATTGGACTACTTTTGCTCGTGTGTCTCGTCTCCATTGTTTGGTAAGAAAAGTTTTATTTTAATTTATCATTTTATTATTGATAAATCAGTTAAACAGTTAGTCTATCTCCTTGATATATTATTTTGGTGAATTTTCTGGTTTCTCGACCAATTCGGAGGAGAATTTTTCAAACAGATGCTTGCCTTTTGCATCTCGCACAGGAAAGCGGATCTGAACCCCTTGGAATTCTTGTTTTGATCCAATGATGGGGTAGTTAGATCTGCCCAATCGATATGCTCGTTGAATTTGATCGTCAGTCAATTCACCCTTGAGTCCTTCCAGTATTTCAATTCTTTCATTCAGATACTTCACTTGGATGGACCCTGATTTAGTTTTCCTTTGCCCTGCTGCTGCGTACTATTAATCAAGGGAGACAATAACTAATTATATTATGATACTCAAGATCATTTTTGTAAGAAAGTTATGATATGAACGTAAAGCACTTACAGTATGAAAGCTCTCCCACTTGAACGCATCCTTCTGATTCTTCTCAGTGCTCACGCCCTTGTCAAACGTCAGTTCCTACAAGAAATAGATTTCTTATTTCATGATAATATTAAATTTAGTAAACTGAGGAAAATTTTTATATTTACATAATGATAAGCGGTCCATTTGCTGTTGCCTTTTTTGTCTTTCTCCATCAACATTTTTGCAGGGCTAGAGCAGGATCCAAACGTATTCAACATTTGGTGAATGATGCATGCACCTTTTTCAGAGCATGTTCCAATATATGCATTGTACTTGTTCAATTTATTATTGCAAAATTCCTCCAAATCCGTTACTTTCACTTTTGCTGGGACGACCAAAATAACGTTTCCGTAGTATGGACGAACTTTTCCTCTCGCCAGTTTGACAAGTCTCATAAATTCATTCTCATCATCATCAATAGGATCGTCTTGGTTGATATCACCTTGAAATAATATGATTTTGATAATATGGAATATGATTCTTACATTTATCAGACATGCGATGTATTATATATGTACCAATGAATACATCCAATTTATCCTTCTCCTCAACGTTGCAGAAAGTCCCCAGCTGGGTCTTCTTATCGGAAACCTTGGTAGCCTCACGATGCTTCTTTGCTTGCGCTTGTCTCCTAAGATAGCCAACAAAAGATGATAAGAGATAAAATAAACATGTGGTAAGCCGGCAAGTCCTTACTTGGCGACAGTTCCACCATGATGACGACTGTTATGTTGTATTAGAGCATGTTTGGTTGAACAACCAGCTCCGCATGTTGAGCATATCACCGACTTCACAGTTTTGCTTTTTTTCCCAATCTTTCTTACTTTTGGAAGACTGTCGTCGGCAGCTGGTGTTTTTATTTGACCCATGTTTACACTTTCAAATATTGTGATTTTAAATTAAGTGTTTGAGAAATTGCAACAATTCAGAGTACGAAATGTAGAAAATGGTAGAATAATAATTTATTCAACTCTTAAAAAATATTATCCTCTCAGCTACTACTGGAGAAAGGCTTTGCGAGTGTGGTTTTATGCAAATTGCGGCCTTCGGCTTGAGGGAACGTGCAGAGAGCCGCATGCAGAAGAAAAACTATTTGATGCGTTTGTAAGCTACAGTAACAAAGACGAAGGTACATTTTTTCAAAATTTTTTTTTTCAAATTTCTAAACGTTAAAATGAAATAAAACGGGGTTAGTAAAAAATATAGTTATTAACGCAACCCTCTTAAATGCTTGCAGCCTGGGTGAGACAAGTCTTTGCGGCCGAGTTGGAGCGCAATGATCCACCGTATAGACTTTGCCTACGTTACCGTGACCTCCCAACCGGTGGCACTTATCTGGGCGACACCATCGTTCAAGCTGCAGACGCCTCTAAACGGAGCGTCCTGATACTTTCTCATCATTTCCTAAAAGGTATGTAACCTGGATTCACCTTCTCGCACATATGTATCTAATGGCCAGCTTTTCAGCTATACCCTCTCATTTGGAAACTCTCACTGAACTCACGTCATGGTGTGTGGTTGATGCTTACACAACTCTGAAGTTTGCTAATTTATTGCATGCATGATTCCCAAATTAAATTCTCCGAAATCTTGCTTCCAGTTTCTCATCATTTCTCGAGGTATCCTACTCTTCGTCATCATCATCATCATCACATACATAGCAATGTTTGAACATTTCTCTGTGAAAACCAGCTAATTTTTGAGCAGTGGCTTGTTTACCTCCTGCAGTCATTTGAAATTTAAATCATTCTGGTGGAAGAAGACTTGTAGAGTATTGCGTTGCGATATTTACAATGGCCTGGAGCCCCATTGATATCTCATCTCTTTCTCTGCCCAAGCAGTGCATGTGCCAGTGTGCATGACATATGAATCATGAACCGCATGGGATTGTTACACCACCACGAAATTGTGCAAGACAATCTGCATGAATCTCCTCACAACCAACCAGTGTGCCACCATACAATCAGGATTATTTTGAAATGCCAAACCAGGCCAAGCAAGAGAGAGAGAGGGAAAGATAGTCCATATCTTGTTTCTGGGCTCTATATATTTTATCAAGGAGTCTGTCTAGTAGTTATTCGCATATCCCGTATTTATTCATCCTTGAAGAGGCAGTTTAATTTAATGGAAAATTATGAAACAATGCCCCCAGTCCATCTGAATCTTGTAGAGAATGTTAAATGGCAAAGTGGTGGCAATGCTATGGTGGCAATCTTTAATCTCTTTTGTGTGAAGCAATTACTTCAAATTGAAGTCGTAGAAGAAGACTAATCTTGAGAGAGGAGCACAAGGGAGCAGAAAGTCCACCAACCATTGTGCTTACTACTATGCCGTCATATCATAACCTTTATACGAAATCAAAATTAAGTGAGGATCGCTAAAGGGTCGAGCATATCTCGACATTATGGAGGCATGGAAATCACGTGCGAGGAGGATAAAATAGCCAGTAGTCAGTTCAGTAGTATGTGTTTGCCTCGTCGTAGTCCAAATGACTTTTGAGCTGCTGTGTGCTGATTAAACACACAATGGAGCAGGGAGAAAGTCCAGAGGAGAAAGACAAAACCAAGAAGTCAGTCAGTCCATGTTCCATATCCGCTCGTTGCACACTTCTTGTATTGCCTTTCTTCCACTCTGATGCTTCCACATTTCCTTCTAGATTGCTTTACTTTCTTGCACTTTGCTTAACTTCACTCCCTTCTTGCTAATGCACCCTAATTTATCTGGAATTTCTCCATTTTCACGCTAAAGTACAACTCCCTCGTTGCATTAGCTCAACACTAACACCCAGCGCAGAAACCACGGCATTAGTCTTAATGGAAGGCTTCGAGAACCACCCACCCATCCACCACCACCACCATCACTACGTATGTCTTTGCTGTAATATTATGTTACTCGTGTAGTAGAACCTGATGGTTGAGTAGTGGGTGGTGATGGTGAGAAAGCTTTTCACTGACTTTGCGAACTTGGTATTAATTCTCATCTGTCCCTTTGTGTCACAGGAGAATGGAGCAGGACAGATGTTAGAAGTGCTCATCACTCCGTTTTAAAGGATCGACATCGTAAAGCGATCATCATCATCTTGGGAGATCTCCCCTCCAAAGATTTAGATCCAGACATCCGTCTCTACCTCAAGAACCATACCTATCTCAATTGTAATTATGACACCTCTATTTTAATACATGTTTAATGGCAAACTAAAAGTTTGAGAAAAATACTCTCAAACGAAAACGATAACATCTTCATTCCACTAATTTGCCTTAATTCCAATTTGATTCACAGGTGACGACAAAAAGTTTTGGGACAAGCTACGCTACGCTTTACCCGACGTTAAGGTAAAGTCGCCCATGTTCCGGGGTACCACTGGACGGAGCAGCACTGCCATGCATAACCAGCAGAATGGTGGGGCTGGTCATCGCGCAATGCCCCCACATCCCCCACCTCACTACCAGTATCCACTTCCCCCACCCCCCACACAGTCGCAGTACCACCAACCATCCCCCAACCTCACCTCGTCGCATCATCACCTTCTCAATAGTGCAAATAATAGTGCGAATAATACGCTTCACCACCAACAACAGCAACAAAACATGTTGAACGCGCTCAACGGTGGGGGTGTCTTTCTCCCCAATGGGATGACCATGAGTGGTGGTGCGGGGGGCATGATGGGCAGTCATCACCACATGACGCCGAACATTGTCCCGCTCGTGGCCACAGCCAACGGCGGTGGTGGGAGTGGTTCCGGTTCGCTAAGAAATAGTCAGCAGAGACAGTATCATACCATTGTGAATAGTAGTTTAAATGGTGGGCATCCCAATAACAATCGACACAATAATGCCGTGCACATATGACACAGGGACATTTTAGGATACTCTCCCACTCTAAACCACTACTCGTCACCGGCCCCGGTCTGATATTTGTACGTTTAAAATCTTATGCTATTATTTATTCATTCGGAAATATATATATGGTATGGATTGACTTTATACATATAATAATGACCTTTAACTCGCCAATGAACCGTAATTCTAATGTATTTACCTCGGTGGAGTAATGAAAAAAATCTCGTTTTTTACATTTTTTATTAAGCCTACTTATCTCAACAACATGATTAAAATGCAAGTGATATTCTCCGGTATGTTAAAAAATGAAAACTGTTTATTGTAATTACATTATGCATATTAAATGTACAGTTAGGATAAGTAAGAGATGATAATCGTATTAAAAGTAATAAATAATAAGTCGCAGCAATTACGTATTTACATATATAAAATCTCAACTTGTTTTCTTAACGTAACATATTTTTTTGTATAAGTCTAATTTTTTTCGAAATGGTACAAAATAGAAACCGATTATTATTATTGTTATCACTTAAAACTATACAGACTTGAAGAAGAAAAATAATTGACTATTTACGACAACAGTACTGTTTCCGATGGTGTCTTATTCGTGTGAATAAAACAATACTGAGAGATGCGAGATGCTGAAATGAACTGAAAATTTACGATTATTTTCTCTTTGTTTATTTCACTACTTTTTGTGGTGGCAATAAAAAAGCATCATCACATGGCATCAAGGAACATCACGCACATTGTAACGATCATATCACCAATTTTTACGTGAATCCAAACTTTATTGGGGGGATTTGAACTCCATTTTTTCCTCATCCCGATAGCACACTAGCACACATTTAGTTTTTCCATTTTCCACTTTCCCTTATTAAATCGGATCGTCATCCAATCAATCGAGTTGCAGTTGCCAATTACACTGCGAATCATGGATCATCGACACCACGTTTCTTCACTAAAAGTTAAATTGCCAGGGCATGCATGCATTATTATTTTTTGGAGATGCATCAACGATAAAACAAAAGGAAGGAAACAATCGAGACGAAGAAGAAACGAGCTATTCTCCTAAATCGCTAACATCATCTCACTTTTCAATCAAATATGTAATTCTGTAACATGATACGCACAACACATTTTTACTTTCTCGACTCCTCCGTCATTCAAAATGTCAAGTGTCTCGACTAAAATATCTTTCATATATTTTTCACACTTTGTACCTATACTCTCATCAACGATACGATTTGGCACTAATTCACACCACGCCGCGCACTTGTTTCCGTCACCGAGGAACAAAAATAATAATAATAACTTCTTTCAGGCTCGTTAACAACGTGGTGGTGTAAAAGAGCAAATCGGCAAATCTAATTTTATGGGTTGTTCGACTAATTTGCATGAAATGTTGTTCTCTGTAATATACAAGTTATAAACAGCTTAGGTACAATATCTGCACATCTGAGTGAATGAGGAAGCCAGGACCTTTTCGAAATATTTAATTGAGCATAAACAATCAAGTGATATTCATATTCATATTCTCCTCCTTGCCAATAATCAATATCAATTTCAATCAATTAGGCAAAATGAAAACGGCCCATTTCGCATATTTATTGCCTTGTTCACTCCTTCATTCATTCATTCGTATCAGTCTGATGATCCATCCACTGCTCATTCGAGTGCAGGTCGGTCGTGTCATTGCATTCATATTGGATTGTTGCATTTTCACACTTTTTCCTCACCCACTTATTGCTTATGAAAGTTATTATTCATAATCCTTGCGCTGGTCGGCTTTACTAATTGAGCCGTGCTTTTACGACTCTGTTTAACAAGTTTTGTTATGACCTCACCTCGTACATAGGGATCGATTTTTTAGTCAGTTACTTACGTGGCACGAGTATATGTTATTCGTACGAATTTGCGAAATTGTTGCAGATTTTCTGCCATCTAGATAATTGCCTACTCGTTTATGCAAATTTCTCCATTAATAACTACTATGCACTCAATAATTTTGATCTAGATTTGTATTGACAGCAAAATTATGTAGTTGTCCTCGCCCGTCACAACATTCTTTTGTGCAAAATTTTAGAAAATGGAAAGTACCTCATTTGTTGGGCTGCTTGGTTTATGCGTAAAATTCTGTCTGTATCCACCGATCGAGTCAAAGGTGGTAACTCAATTTCAACAACGAGTATATTACGAGTCAAAGTTGAAGAGGCGAATATACATACTTTGATAAGAAAAGTTAGTTGTGGTCCGGCTGAAAATTTGGAGTGACAGACGAACCAATAAAAATAAAATAGATACTTAAATTTATCTCTGTAAGATGCCTTAATTGGCATCTTCCATCCATAAAAAAGTCTTAAATTTCGTCTCGTACTCTTGACTCTTGCTGCACGCAAGGCAAACCTTGCATTATTTTCGTTTCACGATACGAATATTACGTACCAGGGCTGGTTATACGATATTTGAATGCATTACTTATTTGCACCATATTTTACTATAAACCATCATCATCCCGTGGTCTGGTCTGGTCTTTGTTTGAAATGGGAATGAAAATCATATGTGGTTTAAAAGTCACTTGACGTGGTGTTAGATACTCTTCTTCCATATCCTGGGCTGGGTTTGGTTGTGATATATTCCATTTGAATTTTTAAATAATTGCAACTCATGACTCGAGTCTCCGTGACTCGCGAATTATTCCTCAAGTCTTTAAGGAAATGGAAACAATGGCCAGTTTATAAAGTATACTAGACCAGACCAAAGACCGAGAGAGTGAGAAACGGCTCACCCCTTATTGTTTGCTTATGTACTGAAAAAAGAGAGCATTGCACCTGAATCTGTATCTATCTACCTAACTAAATATTAAACTGGGCACAATTTTTTTCTGGACGAAATATTTACATATGAACTGATTTCATAATAAATAATTTGTGATGAAACGAAAAAACCATCCAAGCGAGCCCACGTTTTCGAGTATTCTGCTTAAAAGACCACAATGCAGATTCATATCTATTGACGCATTGTACGAAATGTATATGTGATTGTTGGTTGTGTAGCATTGTTTGTGTCGCATTGCATCGATTTATAAAATGCCTGCTGCTCATCAATTATTACTTTTACTCTCTCTGCAACGAAACGAATCTCCTCTTGTTTCTCATCTCATGCATGCGACGACTCTTCTTATGCGCAGTGGCCGCGGAAGCCGTGGGGACATTAACATTGTAGGATAGAGGAGGGCGGGGTTTACATAACATGGCGAGATGATGGGGACATCGGATAACTATGGGGACATTGTCCCTCTGTCCCCACCCACACTTCCGCGGCCACTGTACGTACCTAAGCAAAAGATATGTTCCATTGTAGCACTGCAGGCGAGGCATTGCTAATGATTATGATTAATTGCCTTTAATTGTGGAATGAAATGAATGCGGATTTCATTCAGAAAATGAGGATGACGTGAAATGAAAGGGAATTTATTGTATTATTGCGACACACTAAATAGTACGTAGTAACATATTATATGTGTTTGCTTTGTGCATAATTGCAGGCTTTTCGAATATAGATAAATAATAATACCACTTTCTACTACACGGAATCTCTTCTTCTTCTCAAGAAGAGATTTATTTATAAGAAAGATTTACTTACATGCAAATTTTAATTTTTTTAATTAGCATCATAATGGGATTTATTTATTTTATTGCAGATCTACAGTTACAATGGTAAAGTAAACACTACGTTGCGTTATTGTCAACCCTTGCGAAATTTACAATGGATACATGAACCTTCTCGGAATTATACCTCCTTGACATGATATCCGCGTAATGGCATCATCATCAAGCTTGTTATTATTATTGCGAGAGAGGGCACATTGCCAAAATCCAAGGTGTGATTCTTCATAGTTTCAACCCTAATCGGATAAAGAAAATGCATACTTATCCGAGCATGTACATACTACATACAAATCATTATTATTATTATTCATTTCATTCACCACGTACAACTTACTTATTTATCCCAACCTTCCATCATTCTGGATCCTCTTTTCACAGGGAAAAAACTACCACACAATAATGAAATGGAACTCAACCATTTCCCAAATAATAATATTATTAAGTGCACCAAAAACTGGGTTTTGAACGAGTCAAAAGTCGGGTGCAACAATCCAATCCACACAAACCCCTCAATTCCCTACCTCGCTCGTCATCATCTCCTTCTTCCCAAAAACCCCAACAATAAACATTCTTTTCACCAACGCCACACAAAACAAGGTATCATCACACTCCTCGCTCCTACTACTGCATTGTTGTTGATACCCTGTGTTGTGTAATGTGATGATGAGCACCACTGATGGTTGGAGGAGAGATGCAGATACAAAACAAAAAAGTAAACCCAACCAAGCATCCCAATTCCAGCCGGCTCAATGCTGCAACAACCATTCTCATTTAAAAGTTTAACTCAGCTGCAGATCTAATTTTAATTAATTTGAGTGCCTTCTTCTCCCAGACATAGTAGAGAGTAGAGAGAGAAATGCAATGTTATTTAACCTCGGTATGTAAAAGCGTCCTTAAGCCAGAGCCACCCATGGCATCAGAGGGCGGATATGTATTTACGAAAAATCGTTTAAATGTATTTAATATTTACGAAAAAAACGTCAAAATATTTAGGAAATATGTACGGAAAAAGCATAAAAATAAAAACTTTCATATATTTACATTTTTTGATTGATTTCAATTCAAGATTTCAATCTGCTCTTGATTTTTTTTCAAGCCCAATTGCTTTGAGCAAAAAATCGCAAATATTTACAAAATTTTTACAAAATTTTTGAAAAAAAAACATCTAAAATTTCTCGGTTGTCATCAAACGAAAAGTAGAAAATAAATACATATCCGCCCTCTGCATCCCATACACACGTACAGAGTTAAACCAGAGGAAGTGTTCCACAAAAGCATTTTCCATATTTCGCAAGACAAAGTGTTAAACTTGGGTTCTGGTGGGTATCCACCACCATCGCGCGGATTCGTGCGTCAGTGCCGTATCCGTCGCACTTTGTCAACCTCACTCAATCATGCGTCTCATTTAATTAACTATACTGGGTTACTTAAATGTAGGCTTATCAAAATACAAAAAAATGATGTGTTGATATATCACTAGCCCTCGTTAGTTACGGCACTTGCCGTATAAGTCCCTCCCTCAGAAACTTTGACCCCAAATTTCTCATGGTACCAGCGTTTCTCTTCGGGCAACAAAAGCTGAAAATGTAGCTGTTCCCAAGGAGAAAAATCTGGCATCGGGTTGTCCGAAGTAAATGGCTGGTACCATTCGGTTTTTAAGGATTTCTGTGTATGTAAAAAAACCGCCAATTTTCGAATTTTGAAACTCTTGATGCATTAAAATGTTCATATTCCAAGGGGAAGTCAAATTGCAAATGCAAGTATAGGTCTAACTCTTGTTCTACACGATGTACATTGACTTTCTCATTTTTCCGAACTTTCTTCCTTTATTTTTATAGGGGGTGTGGTTGCACAGAATTCAAAAAATGTTGTGGTACATTTGTCCTTGTACCCACAATTGCATTTACAATTAATTTTATTTGATTCAGTGAAATCGATGCGAAAAGCGATGGAACGTATCCGTCATCCTCTCTCTACAGACACACACATTCTCATAAAAATATCTCAAACTTTTACCTTAACCTTGCACTTGGAAAAAAGTTTGCCTGTTGAGTTTTACACTAATAGAATTGATTCCATCTCATTTGTGTTTATCTGGTCTGGTCTCTTTTTTAGGGGAAGAACTGGTGTCTTTCTTTCTTTATGAACCCCAGCATCAAATCAACATCGTTTAATTCCAGCACAAACCTATTTATCCTGGACTTTGGTCTATTTGTTATCAAACAGTGGGGGAGCATGACAATTTATTCTCAGAGTCGAGAAAACGATCAAACTTCAAACGAGAACCTCAACCCTTTCTTATTATGCGTTATTATTCCTTGTCTCGTTCTTACTAAATACGTCGTGGCTGGTGGTAGTAGTGCATGGACTCTTAATCGTTTGTTATTAATACTTTTAATCTTTCAACGCAGGGTGAGACTGAAAAGCTTTTACTTACGTATTATTACCTACAATGGAACGTTTTCAATCTGCTCCTGTACTAATAAAATATTTGGTTTGGTAGGTTCAAGAGAACTTTTGGATTCAATTTCTCGTATAAATGTAAATATTTCAGGTTCAGGAAATCGATAACTCATCTAATCTAACCCTTAAAGGTAAACAAATGTACCGTTTTAAAAAGTAAAAGGGGGTACGTAACTCGTCGATTCGAAATTGTGTCAAAACCAGGTACAAGATTCGTATATACGACTAACCCATTAAACAATTCTCTCCTATCGGCTACTCATCCTCATACATTTGTAACTGCCAAGCACCAAGTTTTCTCCACTCCACCACCTAATTGTCTAATTAATGAATAATGGTTTTCGTGAGAAGCTTCTCTGGCCCCATCACTCAAGCCAAGCCAATCGGTCTCGGTCAATAACGAACCGCACAGCACATCGCTTAGAAAATATAGACGAGGACGACGAGACGGGCGTAAAAGTCAAGAGATATATCATGCACTTCTTGATAACTTTGGCACGGCACGACTTTGATAATACTACTTGGCTCAATTATACAGTTCAATCACTCATTTCCTTCAGTGCATGGTGCAATACAATCGATAAAATTTATGCATAAAAAACACTTTTACTAGCTAAGATGTATAACAGTCGGTAATAAATGACGAGATATTCATACCTTCAACACGACGTGGCTGCATAAAGGAACAATTCAAGGCAAAGATTTCAGCTTTCTTTCGCCAAAGTGTATTTATCTTTCTCTGCAATAACTCGACATATTTATAGATTTGTACATCTACATTTCCACTGGTATCATATTTATCAACCTTGCAATGCATACATATCCTGTTAAAAAACGTACCTGAATTGTAAATAGCTACACAGCAAAAGGACAAATGACAGCAGCAGCCATGGGACGACGAAATGACATTCATTTGACCAACCAAATGAAGATGAAAGACGACTTGAATTTATTTACTACTCGCCCCTGTTCATTTGATTGTAGGACATTTGTTCATGACACTGCTGCTGCAAATGCATACGAAATGAGCCCAGTTGGACGGACGCATTTATTAATTCAATTCATTTCAATTTCTTTTACTTGTAAAAATCCAATCTGTAAAGGTATGAACTTACTTATTAAGCAAAGTACGCAATCCAATCCACTCCTTCCTTTTTGTTATGTAACTCTCACTCACTCCCACGAAGGAGAGGATCGAATACATATAAACGACACGGTGCGCTTATGCTCGCTATTTAATATGCAGGAGCAGCACTAATAAAGTAAGTAAAATTGTAAAGAAAAAGATTTTGTATAGGAGCTGGTCCTACACAAAATCTTCTTTGTCCTATGCAACTTCCAATTGACAATTGGGCTTTTCAAGGACCAGATCGCATTTGAATTTGAGTGACACAACACTAAATGCGAGTTGTGGGTTTGTCAACTTGGTATGAAATTCTTTGTTTTAAAGGCTTGATTGACAGCATTTTTTTGCTTACTTGTCGCTATTATAAGAAAATTGGGGAAAAAACATTTGTCGCTTGATAATATATATTTACTCTCAATCTGAGCTGGCAGTTGGCACTACTTGCTTACTTACATTTATTTTTTACATAATGAAATTGGACTGTTTGTAGGGAGTAAAAAAGTAAATTGTAAAATGTGGAGTTGACGCTGGTGGCTGGCGGAGATAAACTCGGTGAACTCTTTCTCACATAACTATTACTTTTCATTCTAAAAGACAAAGTAAGTCAATTGACACAATAAAAGTCGCAGTGGATATTTTATTACTCTCTGGAAAGCAAGAGACACACAAATACTCCAAAAAACTCCATAAACAGTTATCTTTGTGGGGCAACGGATAAAGATAAAAGCATCCGACGACGAGGGAACAAGTCCACAACTTCTTATACCCATGAAAATCGTGCATGTTCCCAGTTTTCGGTACAAAAAAATGCAATAAAAATCCGAAATATAAAACCAAAGCTGTAAAACGATTGCTAAATTATGTATGCATTATGCAATTTTAAAAATTTGCAACCAACGTCCGATCAAATGTCACAAGTAGTTATTTAGTAATTCAATCAAATGATTGATACTTTCTTGTCTAAATTGCGATCTAGATTAAAACACTAAATTCTTCACGAGAAGCGACGGTAAATCACCTTCGATTTCATTCCCACTGCGTTGAGACCTCCTATTACACAAGATGCACTTATTTAATCCATCCATTCAACAAATTCAAATTCGATTGGGCTCTATTGTCTTGAATTAATGGAGGCTTGGCTCATATTGCAAATTTCAAGTTGACCAACTGCGAATCTTGATTTGAATGAATGAGAGAAATACTGCACCTTGTTCCTTGCATATTTTAATCGTCAGCAAAAACATAACCATTTTGCAAAGTTTGCAATATAAATGCAGCACAAGACCAAAAGTTTGTATCCCGTGACGAATCTTGAATTAAAGTTTCGTGTTATTTTGCACTATCTGATTCTCAAGATGGTTTGTCAATGCCATATTTCATTTCATTTAATATTTCAAATCTGGGTAGTCACCCTCTACAAACGTAGAGTGACAGTGACATACAATTAAGCCTCATAATCAACTCAACAGGTGTAAAATTGCATTAACTAAAGACCTCATTCATACATGTGGATCGTGCTGCTAATAAAAGAGTTTATTCATTCTTTTCGCCATTAATAATAAATATGAATGTATGCACCAGATTAAGAATTCAGCTATGCGGAGGACACCGGATTAAACGAGGCTTGCAAAAATAGTACAAAATAATCCTTTCATAAAATATTGCCAATGACATTACGCGTCCTTTGGCCAAGAACAATACGCAATATTATTATGGTCAACTCATTTGCATGCGTGTGTGTGGTACCGTTTCATGGGTATAAAAAATCGCTAAGAAAGGAAATTGCATACATATTGTGTGGTTCGGTAGTTAAAAATTAAAGCAAAATCCAAGCAGGATTCTTAATGCATGTGTACAATGTCAGATATTTAGTTTAGATAATTTACCAGCAAACAGACAATTAGCTACATACATTGACCCATAATAACAAAAGTTATTTAATTGGTGACGGGTCGTGTGGGTAGGTCAAAGGAAATGCATAAAGACAATACAATTTTACATATTTAAAGGTGCTACTTATTACTGCTTTTAATTTCTAATCAATCTGACCATCTCACACCAATCACTCCATATTTTTAATGGATTTTCTCCATTACATACGCCCATTGGAAGAAGTATAAAATGTAAAATAGTAGATATGCTAATATTTTTTGGCATGCATTTTATTTTCATAAACATTCACATCATCACAAATCACACAATACGGTACAACGCATACTTACTTCTCATCCTTAGATTTATCCTGACGGCTGATGACCAACTCCCAAAATCCACAATGTAATCTGTCCATCGTTTTGTTAGTCATTTGTCTTTTGGCTGAATTCTTTTTGTTCGAGTTACTTACTTACATAAAGTATTGACTTTTTTATGACGAAATATTCTATTCCTTGGTTTTAAAGAAGAAGAAGAAGTGAGTGTTCTGTTCTTTCTCATCAAAGCGTCTCCTTCATTGAACAAGTGCCTATGTGACGACTCGTCTTGGTTGTGTCATTCATTTCATTGGGATCGTATTATCCGATGAGTCAGGAGATTCATTGTGCTCCCTTCGTCTAATCGGACCCTCATCTTTCTTTCTCTTGCCATCGCAATTCAATAAACTCTTCTCCACATAATAATCTAGTAGCCAGTCGAATAACAGGGCACAATACAATCAACAATTGACAAAGGCAACTCTGCCCCCAACACAAATGCCGAGCAGAAAGGACACGTAGTATATTCACACAATGGGAAGAAAGGTATGATGATGATGAGTAGCTGGGAAGATTATGTACAAAAACGTATACATACACTTGTAAAAACTAAAAGAAATCAGTTGTTGTTTCATTGTCTTGCTTGGGTCCAGCTTGGATTTTTCTTTTGTCACCCGATGGACGGAGTGGTTGGTTATCAACAAGTGTTTTGGGTTATCTATCAGCTATTTTCCCAGGCTGTCCAGTACAAAGAAGGGGAGGGATGAAAATAACTAACTCTTAAAAAAATTGGCATAGGTAGGTATAAATTTTTGCATTTGAGTGTGTTTAACATGCAATTTTTTCATGAATTTGCCATAAACTTATACCATTTAATTAGCGACAAGAAGGAAATCTCTCTCTGATGGGGAGAAGAAGGAATGATGAAATAACAACATTTTTGAAAAACACTTTTACTTGCAGCAGTAATTGCACACTTCGACCACTTTTACAGGAAGAAACACAATGGGGAACAAGCTACTAAGGCTGCAATTTCTTAACAAATTAAATCCTTTTAACCATTAAGTCTCCATAATTTGTGCAAAATTTAACCAGAACTAAAATGCTTCTTTATATTTTATGGACATGTTGCAATTTGCATGCAGGTGGTTCTAAAATACTCAACACAACGTAAGAAATGCGATAAGACCCGTGCTTTACGCATTTATTTTTCATCTAATAAATGAGCAAATTTATGCGAATCTTTGTAACAAAGGTCCAGCGTGACCTCTGGTAAGAAGGTCACGTTAAATAACGTAAAGTACAACGAGTTTGTTAACAGCAATAATAAGAGGACAATAAACTTTTCAATGAGTACAAAGTAGCGTAAAGTTGCACGAAATAAGCTCTACGCACTGGATTACGTTTGTGTAGTTCTGGTCGAGTGTTTTAATAAGCTTAACTTTTCCTACACATAATCCTAATATGTAAATTGGCAAGTATGTAATTTGATTAAAGATAATCAAAAGTTGAGCCTCTCAATATTAATTTAATTAAACATACATAATTAAGAAACAACGCAATAGAGAGATGAATGTATAGTTACTTACAAATTCTCTTTTCTCCAGTCCAAACTTCATGATGATCCCTTAAAAGGCCTTTTAAGGGGACAATGCAGATATTCCAAAATATTTCAATTAATTTCAATTAATGGAATTGGGAGTATTATTTTGATTCGGGCTGAGCAAGTGGAAATACGATCTGCATGAATTTCGCGGCACTTGAGCTCACGCGCAACTTTTAGTTTTTGTTTCGTTTGATCGCTGTATTGGTCACAAAAGCACTCTGACTCGAGGACACAACGACATTAACAGCCAGACAAATTGCTCTCTCTCCCCAAATATTTATAAATTAATTTGTGTGACCTTGCAACAATTAAAATACTTAAGTTTGACCGAACGGACACGATGGACGGGAATGAGATGGCATGGTAAGTAAACAATTAACTTAATTTACGGCCTTTTAAGATAATTACCATGTCTTACAGGGAAGAGCAGGAAGAAGGGGAGACTCTGGGAAGGTTCTGGGAGAGGATGGACGAATGGGAACAGATCGAGAGGAATCGGCATGCATCATTTGGGACTGTTCCCCAATTGGGCACTCAAGGATGCGAAATTATCATCATGGAGGTTGTGGATGGAAGAGAGCAAGTTTGGTCACCTTCAGGGCAGGTTCAGGACGTGACAAGGTTCGTGATAAATTTATCCCTAACAAAGCCTAATAAAGGAAACTATATTTCTTTATTTATAGGGGGGAAAATGAATCGTCAAAGGATCATTTGGGGACAATGGATTCTTGGGTGGGGATCGGTAGAAACCGACATTGGTCATCCGTGCCTGATCCCCTACTGGGTCCTATTCCTTCGTTTGGAGAAGGGGACAGAACACGTCGTTTCTATGAGGGATTCCAAGTTTCATCGACTTCACCTGTCCTTCAGTCTTCCTCAACGGTTGTTCAACAGATGGTAAGTTGAAATTTAGTTACCTAAGAGTTATTTGATTCATCAGTGGAATTGGAGGATTCACCACAGGCGTATTGGGGTCGGATGGATTCTATGGTGGGAATCGAACGGAATCAACATCATGGAGTTCTTGTTCCTCGACTGGGCCCTAGTCCTCCAACCGAAGAAGATTTCGACGAAATGGAGAACATTAGCGCAATGGATTTTTGTCCTGTTGAAGATCTCTTTGGCATACGCGCAGAGCAGGATGAGGAAGAGCGTGCTATGCTTGGATTGGAACAACACGAGTCACGGTCAGAACATGACGACGAGGATGACGTACCTCGCGGGCCTTATAAAAGGAAAGGATTTAAAGGGCGACAGGATTCATTTGCCCGTCAGTCGGCCCTAAGGGCTGTTCAGCAGTCGGTGAGTAAATAAATAGTTCATTTTTATATTTTATTTCACTTTACCCCTTTAAGACCATAAATGGAATTTAAATAATGTTGTAGAACTCTCCATCCACTCCAATTCACGGTGAGCACGACCTCCTGTACGCCCCCCTCCCGGAACTTGACTATATCAGGATCGGATTACTTGCCTGGCTAGAGGGTCGTAAGAAAAAAACAGATCGAGACGACAAGAAGTTGGAAAAGTTGATGAGAGATGCTCAAGACTTTAGAAGTGGTTATTTTTGGGCAAAGGAAGCATATGGCCCAGGATGGCGATATTGGATCCCCAGCCCTACAAAGAAGTACCCAAACACACGAAAGGGATTGACTATGTGTTTAAAAAATGATTGGTTAAATAAAATGAAAATATGGAGAAGAGGACTAGGTTTTCGCCCAAACATAACGAATGCTAAACGTAAACAGAACCAATTGAACAACAGCAATCATAAAAAATGGATTCCTCGCCTTCCGATAAGTTATCTTCTCGAGATTCGCCAACTGGCCCCTAAAGATATCAAACGATATCTAACTAGGAAGATGTCATGGGTTGAACTGACCCAACTCCCGGCCATAAAAATCTGGAGGTACCCTGGAGTCCATGAATCTTTCAGTGGAGAGTTATCTGCACGGGCAGGACATTTTAAATCTGATCCTGACCAGGCCGATTCCGTCGTCCATGACAAGATTCGCGAAATAGGGATCAATAGATGCATATGTGTGGAAGTCTATGCCCATCTCTGCAAGGACTTGTACACGGCCCAGTTGGGGGAAGCTTACACAATGGTGAGGATCATTTATTTATTTATTTGTAAATTTATACACAAATTCAAACATGCAATTTTGATAAAAATTACAGGAGTATGGGGCGATGCACAACGCATTAAAGGCAGAAGGGAGGATCGAGAGTAACATTGAATACCTGATTACCCGACCTGATGCTGCGCTGGATTCGGATCTCGAACCATTCCCCATTTTTGACGCCATGGACGGTATTGAACTGTACGAGATAATCCCGAATACGGCCTTAGTTCATCCGGACTACCACGCTACGAAGGATGAAATAATCCAGTTTCCTTACCGAATTCATCAGTCTTCCCTCATAGACAGATTCATCGTAGGGACAAGAGGAAATAAAGACAATATCTGGAGACATGAGTACGATGCATTGAATAACCTTGTCCGTCGATCGCCTTAAACTCATCCTTTCTCATACTTATTTTTTCATTTACTTATAGATTTATTATTACTCGTTCGAAATATTGTACCTTCTTTCTTTCCCTTTTTATTATTTTAATAGCCACTTGCCTCCACAATAAACGAAACCAACCACAGAGCAAGCTCTAAGGTCTTATAACAAATATGCATTAAGTTGTTTGTTGCTGCTGCTTCTAAATAGTGACCATAATAAAATGCTCCAAGTAAGTCTGGCTGGAATAGAGTACTGCTGCCACCCTCCAATTTACCTCCAACCAAATAATGCATTCAACTCCCTTCTAATTCTCTAAAACAGTAATGCCTTCCTCTCCAAACACGAACGAAATGCAGGCTGAAATGAGCAGCAAAGTGCGTATTTTTATTACAGTCACACTGCAGTGGCCGCGGAAGCCGTGGGGACATCTGGGGACATTAACATTGTGGGATAGGGGAGGGAGTGGTTTAAATAACATGGGGGGATGTTGGGGACATCAAATAATCGTGGGGACATTGTCCCTCTGTCCGCAGGCACTGAGTCGCAGTATAATTTTTAAAGTAATCCATATATGCAGCCGCTCTGCTGGAGGAATTGGCAATTTAATCGCATTAGTATTGCAATTATCACGTACTTTGAAATGTCCTTTCCTTCCTACTCCATTATTCTGTTTGTAATTATCGTGTACGGTTAAGTAAATTTATTGCGGATATTATATTTAATATGCGGAATTCCAATTAATTCAGTTTCCATCACAGAAAAAAGGGACAATAACAATACCTACATACCTACTCAATAATAATAATAAAATTAAAAACGATTCCACAATGAGATCGGGGGTGACACGACTTTTAAGAAAACAGGTGCGCAAATCAGGTATTTTTGGTTAATTTCAGGAAGCTTACTTAGTCGCCTCATAGATAGTTCCCACAGTCGTTTGAGAATTATCGCGTCATAAAAAGTGACACGGAGACAATAATCTCGTCATCCTCCTCCATCCATCTTGCACAAAGCTAACCATATATTTCACGTACTTATGTATGTAATGTACACATGTGCCTCTTCAGGTCTTAACCCTCCTCCGCGTCTTATTCTGTCTCCCCATTATTATCATGTTATTCCCTTGATAGGTAAGGATGCAGATGACGGTTGGGATAAGATCCATGACATGAATGTGCGCACAAAGGTCACTCACTGTATTTTGTGCATTGTCGTGAAACGAAATTTTAAATAAACCGGAGACATGCAAGGTATTCCATATTTTTGTCCCTACAAAAAATGGGATACGAATAAGTAAATCCATTAAAATTTCCAAAAACCAAGTAAACATTCCCCAAAAAAGTGCATCTCCGATAAGAACAAACAAACAAGACTCGTCATCATCATCCAAAAGTAGTTAAATACGTGGAAAAAGATGCTCCCAGAAAACAAAGAAAGGGAGGAAAACATCAGCTCATTTTCCACTTAATCACAATTATTACCCAAACAAAGTACACTGTTAATCATAATCATGACCATGTGTACACATTTGATGGATAAATGCTCCAAAAAGTTCCGAATCTCCCATCTCCAGCCCTCCCCTTGAAGAGAACGAGGGGCAAAAGTAGGAGTCAACAGATTCACATTTAACTCTAAATTAGGACTTCCCATTCAAATTAATTCTATCGCCGATACGATACCGAGCTGCCTCTGTTCTGTTACCTGTTGTGTGGTTTTTACTGCTGGATGGATGTGTGGAACCTCATCAAATATTCATTTTTTCCCTGGTCAGGAAATGTTAATAGCTGAAAAATCATAATTTCACATCATAATAAGATTGCCTGTGAAAAATGTGAGGAGAATCTACACTTCAATCAACGGACCCTTATGTTACCTCACGTTTGTTTGTGGGGCAAGTTATACGTAGTTGCTCAATTTTTTCACGCACTTATTATGTGATAAGACATTATTCAATGGTGAGTTAAATGGTCCATTTTATTTGATGGGTGAATGATGAAACTGTCGAGACTTTTCAGAGTATAAGTATTTAACAAGTCAAGTTTGTTTCCAGTCGGAGCCAAGAACCTTGCCCCCGTACGTAACATAATAAGTGTGGGTCTAAAATAATTGGAGAACGGGAAAGATTCCTCTTCTTCTTCTTACATTGTAATCGCTTTTAATACAAAAAATGCCAAAAAGCTTATAAAACTTAAAATTAGTTGGTACTTAAAATTCTTGTATAATTTTTGCAGACTCGTCCCTCTCGCGAAATAATGTTGGTTGGAGCCAAAAAATTACTCAAAAATTAGTCACCACTCCTGCAAATTTCTGCATTAAAATATTGTAAAATATTATTACGTACTCAATACAAGCATGAAATTGCATCTCGTACATACATACATAAAATAATGCATTGCTAGAAAGAACCACCTCGTTTTTCAGGGTACGTTTTGATCAAGTTCGCGATAATGCTAATAATCCGCATTGCCTGGTTAATTTTCATTTCAACATTGCATACATAGCACTCTCCCCTCCGAGCATGAATACGCGATATGATAATAAAGCCTTTCTGGAAACTGGAAATATTGAACAGCGATGCTTCAATAATTGCTCACAACAACAAAATATAACAAACAAGGTGCAGCTCGGCTCGCTCAACCAGTCAACTTGTTTCTTTGTAGTAGATCTTATTTAAAAGTTAAGGAGAGAAGGAAACCTGCAATTTACTCGGTGCACTGCATGTTTTTTTTTCATATACGTAATATGAATGATTGTTGACTTGGATGGAGGAACTCGATTGAGTGAAGCATGATTTTCAGATTGAGATTCGGACTGCATATTGTATTTTATATGCAATGCACTCCATGCATTTGTAAGTACAAACATGGATAAGCTTTGTACACGTATGTAGCATGATGGCTGGATCATGATGAGATGGAACTGAGATAAAATGATACCACAAGTTTATTTAGCTATATCCACCACTTTTCAAAAACTCAAGTAAACTTGGTGCTTCGAATTCATTGTTTTTCATTGCATAATTGGTACTACTACTTATTTACTGCAGGAATCTGCAGGCTCTTCCTTCTCAATAATGTGGAGGAGACAAACATGAAAATTGTCTCATTTTGTACATTTCACTCCTTTCACGGCTCAAATGAATTAAAACTGTTCCAATTATACTTCAAAATTTTTAAGGAAATCTTCGCAATTTCTGAGCCAACCCTGTCTGCCATTTACAACTCCCATTCCGCTAAGTAAATGAAGGAGGATTCAAACAATTGACCAGCTAACCTGCCATGCAATGCATAACGAGAGGGCCAGCCTCACCTGTCTACTTCAACTATTGGAAGCAAGCAAACCTGCAATTACAATTTATTCCATGCGAAATCCCAACCCTCATTTTTACAGAGTCCTCTCCTCCTCGACTTCTTTAACCTCACGCTTCAATTTATTTTTGAATTCATTATTTGCTCAAATTTAATAAAAACTTGATTTAATTTCATTAAAAATCAGATCTACTGTTTTTTAATCAAGTATACGGAATAGTTTATGGACTTGAACAAAAAATAAATAAAAAGTTCACTTTCTTTCTTCCCATAAATTTTGGATGAATTATGATTTAGTTTACGAATTAGTTTACGCAGTTGCACAATTCAGATGATACACATACTTTACGACTTTGCAGAGTAATGATAATTAAGGAAGGGAACGAGATAAGCATCAGAATCCAGATTCTGTCAGGTCCAATTCATTTTATTTCTTGGTGAGGTGAGTGAGATGACAAGTTGGTTGGTGGAGGAGACTTAACCGGATCGGTTAGTTTTGGTGGATTGGATAAGCAGAATTCTATAAAAAATTCATTGTCTAGAGAGGAAATTTAACGAAATATTGTCAGCACGTATCACCAACCAGCAGCACCAGCAGCCAGCCTATGGTTACTGTTACTCTGGGCATTAAGTGGAAGTGGCAGGTGGGATTTGGTCATTTGCGAACGAATCAGAGAGAGATTGGAGATGCGATGATGATCTGATGGCAATTGACGATAACGGGCATTTACATTAAATATTATTCAACTGGGAAGAACTTGATGTGCAAATCATCTGCCACTTTCATTGGAACGTACAAATGGCGAAACCAAATGTTGTTTTATTTCGGACAAGGTGATTTTAATTTATTTTATGTAATTCTTTTCGCGACATCCAATCCAGTTTTATCAGGAGAGGAAAAAGAAAGGAAAGAAAGACAATGAACTAACAGAAGCACATCCACCAGACCACGTTCTCTGGTAGCACAAGAAATGAGTACTTCTCGTGTCAACTAATCTACTTAGCTGGCTGGGGATGCGACTGTTCAGCCAAATGTCAAATTTAATGGATTCTCTGACCACATACTGCTGCTTACGTATTTACTTGTGTGAAAACCACGCGAATTTTGGAACAACGCCTGAAATGGATCAGCTCAGTGGTTGGTTGAACAATGAGTCCCCCGAAATAACGCGAGCATCCTACTTTCCCTGGGAGAAACAAGTGTATCCTCATTTAGTCGAGGTATATATGTGCATTAGTCCTTTGCAATTAATGAACATTACCATAATGAATTGGAGAAACTGCTCCGCCTGCAAATAATCTTGAGAGCATTGCTTATAAATACGTACGTATGCTAATTACGAAGAAAGAGCAAACTATTTATGCACAACTGTTGGACAGGATAGGACACGAAACGCGAAAATAGCGACATCACGATACATCAATGTTTTAATGATAAATTATGCATATTTACATATTCCTTTATGGAACATTACCATAAGCCCAGGCTTATCCGGGTAGTATCTAAAATGCGAATTTCTTATTTATTTATGCATATTCCATTTCGATATTAAGTATCAAGCTAAATTGGCAAAAGTTTTTAGAAATCCAATCCATATTTCTGACTAATTTCTGCACGCTATGCAATTTAAGAATCGTCATGTTGAACTAATAAATTGCAATCTTGTGCGAAAACCACAGATCGATAAGGACATAACTGCGGGTCGTAAATAAGCAAATTTTGCAACATAATCAGACAAACTTTATATCTACCTGTAGATGACTTTATCAGCCACATATATAACCATCAAATATCTCGATTTTCACATTTTATCACAAATCTCGACAAAACGGTAAAATGTACCTGTTACATTGTCGCTTGTGTAGAAATTCGCTCTCATCAAGTATGCGCAGCTCATATCTTTCTTGTTATCTTGTTAGCAAAATGACGGAAAATGCAACCCAAGTTGTTGTAGACTACATCCTGAAGCTACTACTAATTACAAAACCTAGGCGAATTTGTAATTCACTGTCAGCCATACCACCACCTTCTGCTCAATATACGTTACTAGAAGCTCACTACTACTCGATCCTACTACAAGTTCAAAGTTGATACCTGATACTCTTTTATTCCAAATACTTGTTCACGTAACGTTATTGTAGTTCCAAAGGAAAACTGACGTCCGATAATTAATCTTCATTAATTTGTTTCGCATACTGCAAACCTACTCGATCGCATTCCTAAACCTGGCATAATATTGAGTAACAAAGCAACTTTATTGATACTACTACAACCCAACTCGTAGTAAAACATTCAACATCCAACTACCGTGCGCACCTACAAATTGCGATGAAATGAAGACTTACTTATATAAAATCCTTCACTATTCACGAAGGGAATGAAATATTGAAGGTACGACGTATCCCTTTTATTATTGCTTTCAAAACCGAGTGATTGCACGTTTTGTTTGTACTAAAAAAGTAAAGGAAGGAGCAATTGTTGAGGTAAACCAGCAGACCCAATCAAGTATTTAGATGGGCTGATCAACTATTAACTTGTGTCTTGTTCATTAAGCCCCAAAAAGTAGATAATCTCCCATTTGACTACATGGTTGGCTCAGAGACCGTTTGTGCATACACAAACCTTGCTTTTTCCCTTGTTAGTAAAACAACAAAATGAGACACATTTTCACTTTGACTTGATTGGACACACGAAATTCTACCACTCGCAAATACTAACAAGGTCTGGTTAGCATGTAAAAAATCTGACGGAACAGATACACTTTCTACAATGTGAATACACATTCCTTTTTCCTTCCCCAAAATAAATAAGCATGCAATAACCACAATTCGAGCCAGTTAATTTGAGACTAAATACGTAAAAATTTGTCGAATTGACTTGCGATGAATTACGATATTTACATAACGTTATTGACTCATTTGTCGGGGCACATTTTTGTCGATAGGTTTTGTAATGGTCGATATTGCTCAAGAATAAAATTTAAAGAGCGACATTACATACATACAACCAGCAATAATAAGCGGTCCCACTACTAACGACTACGGTAAACGGCACCATTTCATGACATCATATCTCATCACACAACTCCACCTTTCAGAAAAAGAGACTTTGTTTTATCCACAAGAACCGTCGACATCGACCATCACCGAAAGAAACAGGATGTGTGTAACCCAACCATTCAGCCGCCATTCACATTCACCCACCACATTTCAGCCACAAGTTTGCCAATACGTACAAAGTTTAAGAAATGAAATCGAGATTAGACTCCGGCGTTGTAATTATCTCTTTTCGCAAACTGCCAATTGCACTCTCTCGGTCGTCGAAGGAGAGGAAAACAGCCAGAAGAAACGGTTTGACAGGAGAGACTTGTTTTTCAAATATTTTACGACTCCTCGGGCCAACCTCTCTCGATGAAGTTTCCTTTCCTCCTATATATTTTCCATTCAACAGGTATTTTCTTCCACAAGAATCTGTCCTATGCTATTCACCTGAGTGGCAGTGGTGGTTTAGCATACATAAAAATCAACACGAGTATCAACACCAACACCAAAAATCTGGTCGAGCCATCGTTGAATATTAATTGCAACCTAAACTAAACCAAACCACATAACTTCCAGCAATTTTTCTGTCAAGGCTTGTTAGCTTTCAAAATACGAGTACTTACATCGAGGTGCATTCACACATCATCCTCCATCTCAAACTGATCTTCTCGACGCCAGTTTCCATTTTATTTCCCATGTCGTCGTCCTTATATAATTACGCTGTCCATAGATTTACCACCAGTCAGTAGTATTTAAAATCCAGACCAGTACCAGTTGGCATGCTTTTATTATCCAGCTTATTTCCACTTTCCGCATTATTATTATTTGCATGTGTAGGAGAAATCATTTGGCTTCATCAATCTTAATTTTTATGCTGTAAACATTCATTTAAATATCTAAACATGGCCGTATAAATGGCAGATAGCAGGATAAACTGCGAGCTAGTAGGGCATAAAATAAATTGCATTTCTCTCATCCACCGTGATGAATACAACATTATAATTTTTACGACTCTCCGATAATTCATCCATTTATGAGGCAGTTTAACAACCATGTTCAACAACATTGAATAATAATCTCTCCTCGAAGAAGTAAAAGATGAAGAACAAGTCCTGCCTAACGTGTATGCTACTCATCGCAGCAAACAGTTATTGTTTTGTATGTACAAGACCTCAAGGAGACGAACGAACTTATCTTATCCTTCTCGAATTTGACATGATAAACGAAGGACTCGGATAATAAATAAATTTAATATTTGCGGTCTGATTAAGTATCAAATTTGAAAGTGCTCCTGGCTTCTCATCTTTTTCAAAGTCGACTAAACAACCCATATAACATTTCAGAACAGGACATAAATGTCAGGTCGGCGTTCAGGTAGCTTATATGCAAGTAGACCCACCATATCTACTACACGAGTCATATCACTTACACTTTTATGAATTATCTCCATGTTCCAATTCCACTTGGGCTGTGTATGCATGGTGTATAAACGAATTGTAAACGATAAAATGATAGCGGTTTATGCATTCTTATATTAAAAATTTACATTTGATGACCATCTCGACTCGTCGTCCGGCATTATTTATTGGACCGATTTATTTATCCGGCCCTTCATCTCTTTCCAGTTTATTGGACAATTGCTCCCTGCTCAATTATGTAATCTGGACTGGGTTTGATCAAAATGTTGTGTTGGTATTACGTAACGGAGGCACTTACACGGATGTGGATGAAGGAGCACCGATTTTTGCCGACAATTATTGATTGAAGTAGATATCATGTAATTGGAACCAATGACCAATTATAATGTAACATGAGATTTTCCCCTTCCTCGTCTTTCGGATAAATCAACTGGATAATAAGTTTCATTCAATTTTTGCATCGCAATTATTCCTCTTGAATAGAAATGTAGCAGTTTTGTCACGACTGCTCAAAATTGTTTCATGTTCATGACTGCAGGATCATGCCAAAGCAATCACTTTTAATTAAATTAACAATCTTTCTCAAATAGAGGAAAAGTTGGCAAGAAAGTTCATCTATTAAAATAAAATGCAAAATTCTTCTACTGTACTTACTTACTTGGCAAATTCACACAAAAACTCGTGAGATTTCCAAAACAAACTTCCCTACATTTTCATAAATATCTCTCGAATGATCTCATCATTTACATAAAAATTTGATTTGATAGGGTAAAAAAATTGTGTGCTAAGAGTAAAAGTGTCCACACTGTAAAGTGCACGTCCACCTGTGCATAAATATGCTGCTCCCAAATCGTGAGGAAAAAGTAGCCATAATTTATAATTAATTGAAATTAATCTCATGTAGTAAAGTGCATATTGTAGCAAATACCAGCTTCCTTACGGATTATTACAACAACCAGAAAGAATTTAAATTCATACTAATTTTTGTGAAAAATAACGTCGTCTTATGCATTCCCAATTACAGGCTGATCGATTTCCTCTGATTTGCATACCTATCTATTGATGATATCCCAATAATAATAGCTTGCTGCAATTCTGTATTTATGATCTACAACTACAGCATAATTGCTCACTTACAATCTCTGAGATCATTACGGAATTACGTACAGTATTCACTTTTACTTACATTCATAAGCCAATTATTTTGCTGTACATGTGTTCCACTCAGCAACTAAGTCATTGTAAAAATTCACAAAATTGCTCTTACATGACATGACACAAAGAAATTGCTTGATGAATTGCAACTAATTTGCGAAAGAAAGGGGTCACAAAGGTTGTCTAGAGATTTAGGTTGGTCGTTGTAAAGTATTAATTACAAGTCTCATCATATCATATCGAGTAGGTTTGGATTTCATGTACACAAAAAAACCTTCTCCGCAAATATATATGTATGCATCCATCACATAAATAATCTTTTATGAATTGCGAATTTATTAGCATAAAAAATTGCACATGCTTTCGTGATTATTATTCATGAGTATTTAGTAAATATGTAAGTACAATGGTATACAAGTTTTCTGAAAGAGCTTCTTCACTTTTTTGTTGATATATGTAAAGCAAGCACAATGACAATATCCTACAGGGCAGACTTCATTTAGCCCGAGTCAGGGACAGAGTCCGCTTCTAAATTTTTGTCAAAATTGACCGGACCACAATGTATTATCATACAATTAACAAGACTACCGTGCCGAATTTGATCTTTTTAAGACAATTTCTGAGAATTGGTATGGGTTACCCCTGTTTGCAAATTTTTTCAATCTCATTACAAGCCATTAGCAATTTTTGTGCCAATTTTCAGCTTTCTACGACGATTTTGAAATTTTGGTGCATAATTTTCCACTCACCAACATGACCCATACGGCTCAACCCTTTGACTGATTTTGCTCAACTTCGAATTTACTTTGCTCCTAACTTTGTCCAAGTCCAAAATACAGTTGTGCAAAATTTGAACTTAGTCGGTTAAGCTGTTTTGACAGACACGAGACTTACATTAGCCTTGACTCGGCCTAAAAATCCAATCTTTATGGCTTTATTTAATTCAAGATTAACTACTGGTTGGAGCATAATAATCAAATTAATTGGGAGACAATGACCACAAGAGAGAGATAAGGAAATGAATAAATTAGCTATAATATGGAATTTGCTACTGTGTGTCTGCAACAAAAATAAATAAGAGTCGTTGTCTCGTCGGCAGGTTAATTATCTTATCCTCACTTTTTTTATACAAATAAATACGTAAGACCAGTGTGCAGGTAGTTGACTTTGTAAACCTTTACTTTTGTCTGTCACATAAGTAGCAGTGGGATAACAAATATGTATGCATGAAAGGAATCTCATCCTATTTACTTAATTCATTCACAATGTATGCAGGCAGGTACTAATTCTCAGGATTAGCAAACTAGTTTCGCGATTTAAAATGACTTCATTATTATTATCTGCGGAATTAGTATCGATTTTCGCTGTTTTAATTTGCTCCTTCTGCAACAATTGCTAAATTAAACAAATTACTAAAAAAAAATATCGAGCTGATTAGTCTGCATTGTTTAATAACTAGCTAATCTACAATTTGTCGTCAATATATACCAGATTTATGACGTTAAAAATGTACATGCATCACTCGGAGGTGAGATTAATTGCAGGGAGACCGATTAAAAATTAATTTCCTTGAATTAAGCACATTCCATCACAGAAAAGTGAGGTAAAACCCTAATCATAAAATAATTATCTGATTGACCTTTCCCCACTTTCCGGCATTAAATTCAGATCCAGTTAGCTCACTTAACTCACTACTTGAATAAATTGCTATAATGTTTCCTTCCCTTTGTTTTGGATTGAAATTAATCGAGGCATGTTTTCTCATCAACAGGTGATTTGCATCTACACAGTTGAATTTGCTGCTGCTTTCGAGAAATCATGGAACGAGTGGAAACCTTGGATGGATAAGTCAAACATGCCAATTCTACTTATAATTCTCCTCCTTATTATACAGCAATTAAATTAATTTGACTTTAATCACGAGCTCAAACTGGAGCAAATTACACGACAAGAAAATTACTGACTGACTACCCAGCTCCTGCAACCAACTTACAGGAGTCGTTTTAGGTACATTTGTATGTATCCAACATGGATTTTCCAAACACTTTGAATATTAAAATACTTCTTTATATGTATTTAGATATTTAAAAATTCGAGAATATTTAACACGTATTCAATCTTCGATAGTTTTGTAGGTGTGGTCGACGAGAAGAACATCGTTCGTACTAATCAAGTTACGTTACGTTCGTTGATCCAATTTCCTTCAAATTAAGTTTGGTGAGACTGTTCAGCATACTAATGTTTGGACTCTTCTGCACATAATAATTGGACAGTGGTCAACAACAGTGATTAGCTGACGATTGTAAAATCAGCAGAAAATGTGATATGCTATATATTTTACACACATAAAAATATGCACATTTATTTTGCGTCTATTTTAACTATAGTTAGAAGAGCAAGTCCCATTTATAAGGTTCATAACAATAAATATACGCCAAATAAATCAATTTCATCGGCACAACTAGTGTGCCCAAACTAATGAAAGTAAATAAAATGCAGCAACTGATTACCATCTAAATAGCATAATTTATTGCACATAACACTATTTTGCTCTGCTTAACGCATTCCTTAACTCGAAACTGGAAATAACGTGGTCTAGTTTTCTTGTTCATCTTGTCTACTAGTAAAGCTACCACATATATTATTATACCGCTACTAACTAACTAAGGTACTAGTGCATACAGGTATTTTTTGTAGTTGACTTGCCAGCGATTGTCATCACCCGATAAGCTTTTTAAGAAATTAATAAATCAATCACTACTGCCGCGATTTCACATTTCATTCTTCTTTCATATTTATTTATTCTGTGTCCGATTCAATTAATCTCTGTTTGTTGTTGGCTAACTGGGAGTAGAAAAAATTCGCTATAGAAAAACAAGAAAGTAAAGCAGTTTTCCCATTCTCAAGTCTACATCTCATCACTTATTGTCAACTTTGAAGTGTTCCTGTTCCCATAAAATTGGTATAAAGCGTGTATGTACATTACTCGTTATCACGTTCATGTTTGTTATGATTCTTCCCTCTCGTCGGCGATGGTACGCCTGACAAAGGAAAAAATGGGAGCATTTTTCTCTTATGCTAGCAATCAAAGTACTAAATTTCAAAGCGATATATATTTTTTTTAGATCAAATAAAAAACAAACTTGACATCATTTCTAGAATCGTTTTATCATAAAATTCAAAATTAAATTCACAACTTTGATTCTATTTGTGGCACAAAAATAAATATCAATTATATTCTTGGAGTAAAACACATTTCACTCCACGATACGAGTTCCCATCATAAAAAGAAGCATATTTATTCAATTTATTTTCTCCTCGTTTCTTTCTCGTGAGCATTTCTTTCCGCCAAACATGCCAAGTCAGAGGAGAAGAGAAGTTGAATTCAATTTGGACCAAATCAGTTCAAGCTCCTTGGTAAAACGGTATTTCCTGTCCTGTCACTCACACAAATATTACACAACTTTTACCATGAGGAACAAGTTAATATCGCATCATTCTCTCTCTCCAGTCTCAATTTTCCACTAGTCAACAACTCTTCCGAATTTATCATATTCACCGTTTAAGAGTAAAGGCATACTGGAAATTTAATAGGAGAGTGATACGGATTCAGATATGTACGTACGTACAATTTGACTCCTCGACTACATTAATGTCAGCCTGTCACTGTTTCTAATTTGAAAATAGATTCCAGAGAAGTAGATTCCAACTGGTTCAATTTCAGGTGTGTTCTCGGGCCAAAAGTTAAACACGAGTTCGGATTCATGAACATGTGAACAAACTTGAGCTGAGCAGTAAGTAATATGTATTTCCGACTTACAACATTCCAGTTAGAATCAGTATGCATAGTATTTAGAATTGAATTCACGGCCGGGTTGGTTAGTTTACTGGTGATGGGGCTGAATAGTTCCCACATTCATTTCATTCAATAATCTTACTCCCACACTCGAAATAATAATAAGTTGACGAGAAAAGGGTATGCACTTGACTGCTTGGGTTCTTAGGTTGATTTGCTTTTAATTTTAAACACGCAGCAGTACAACAATGTTTTGGGTGGTGTTGCTACCTCAGAGATTATAGGAGATTTTTGTGCATATGTGCATATGAAAAACGGTGCATGCATTTATATGGTCCCATTATTGCCACGCTGCTGTGGGGGGAGATCCTCTGGAAATATGGTGTGGACTGCTGTAATCTCACGTTTTGCTGACCACCCCACTTTTTTTACAGGGGCCACTTACTTTATATCTGTATGTATAGCTCTCTTGGTGACATTTGCATTTCATATGACGTGTCAGAAAAAAAATCAATATTAGTCATGATCAAACGCCGGTTATTTATTTTTAATCAATATGAAATAATAATTTGTCGTTAGATTAATTTGGCGAAATTGGGATTAGGATGCATAGTGACACGTCGTGACGGTGGAGTTGGGGGCCATTTACAGAATTAAAACTTGAAATGTATAAGGCTCAGGAGTAGATTTCCGAAAAGAGAACTGGTTAATCCAAAAGAGCAAGTCGATTGAATTTGCATATTTTGACGCTAAAACCGAAGAGATGAATTTGTATAAGACCCGTATCAGCTACTATAGACATTATATGCCGAACTAATAAGTATTTATGAGAAATAAGTTTTCAGAAACGTTGAAAAAGTCATAAATAAATAAATATCCCCTCTCTGGTCATGATCCTCCACTTCTTCAATGATACCGAACAAAATTGCTGCAAAGAAAATTTTTCTTTGTGTCACCTTCTTTCTGTCACATCGATCCGATAGATTTATTCAGCCTTGTTTTCCAGTTGACTAAATTGCAAACGATTACCAATGTTTCACTTCACAGCCAATCTGAACTGAACTCCGCCGTGACATCCAATCCAAAGTCACAAGTAGCACGGTTTTCGTAATAACACGTTCTATTCTATTCAGCTTTCGCCAAGTGCAGTGCAGTCTCAACAAGGTTTCAAATTCCTACATCATCATCATCGCAGCCTAATTTGCCACAAAATATTCAATATCCTCCTATCCACAAGATTCTAAAATAGCTCCAGCTCCTCCGAACCACAACCAAGCTTTGTAAACAGCCTAGAAGGAGGCAAGAATATTATTATTATTATAATGTAACCAAACCGCAACAAAAACACGACGATGATCATCCCGTCATCAAGAATAAGATAAAAACCTCCCAACATCTGCATCCTTTACCATCAAATCTAAGACCACACCACATAAACATATTCTTCACTTGGTCCACATCGTCTATACTTTTCGTCTAATAATAAAGCGTCTCATCTCAACAATCCGGAGCAGGAGTGAAAAGATGAGACCAATTTTCACTGGCCTTGGTGGCTCCGATAGTTATTACGAGACTAACTTCCACATAACACATAACACATTATCACCATCCAAGTCCAAGTACGGCAAAGAGTAATCTTATATATTCCTTGTGATCATAATCGTAAAATGAATCTTGCTTGGGTTGGCTCCTGTGCACTTATTTGTACAAGAAGAAGAAGAGGCAGTTTTTCTTGGCTGGAGGAATCACCTCACCATTTTTTACTCCTTTCCTCCTTCCTCCATTCTAAAAGAAGTGAAGAAATGTGAATGTAATTTGTAATAATATCTCATTCACCGAACTAGTATCGAAACATCATCCCCAAACCGACAAGAACTAGTATAAAGATTTTTCAGGTAGTCGTCGTCATCTTCGTCGTCGCATTTAAAAAGAAACATCTCCAACGAACTGGAGTTAATATCTTTGAGGAATATCCACCTCAATACATTTGAATAAAATTCACTTGCTCATTGCAGAAGCAATAAGAAGAGGCAGGCAGGTGAGTTTTATTTTGGGAGGGAGGTATCCCCCATAAAACTCCAAATAAGATGTAATAAATCATCGCGATGTGTGTATATGTACCTGTTGAATCTTTTATGTAATTTATGCAAGGCTAAAATTAATACGTGAACAAAATCAGCTACATACATGCATATTTTGTCCGTTTATGTAATGAGTAGCTTGAAATACGGTGAAATCTATGGGCTTGTACCTTGATCATTTGGATGACTTCGACTTTGAAGTACACACATGAACACTTTACCATCTGACTCCTGGAATTGATCATGGTGCGGATTATATCTGTAAAAACTATGAACTCTATTGTATTTCCCTAGCTTGATTTTTTACAATTTTTTTGAGAATGATGATACTCCATTTGTACATTTTCAAAGTACCAGCTACCAGACCATTCAGTCACTCAATATCAATTGTGATTTGATTCGAAGGATCTTATTCATTCAAATAAATAAAAGAGAATTTTATACAAGAGTTAAGAATAAAGGTAAAGAGTTTATTATGAAAAGTGTGAGCTTCATCTTGCCACTAGTTTTGAGCTCCTGTATTCATATTGGATAAAAATTTTGAGATAATTCCACATCTTTTCAAACTCACACCTTCTTAAAAGAAGAAGAAGAACAAGCTGCGTGTGAGTAATTTTCAAGTAAAAAGGATTCAAAAGGATTAAGTCTCGTTCGCATGTGTGTCTCTGAAGGACCACTCACGAACGAATGAACGGATGAATTTATTTTATTCCAAGCTGATTGAATAGCTGAGCTTGAGAAGTATTTACGTAAAATAGAGTCAGTCGTGTACCTATTTCATTTAATAAATGGAAAAAATGACAATGTATGTGCAAGGTTAAGTAATAATATTCTACAACAATCGTCAAATTACGTACGTAGCAAACAAATATGTACATACGCAGAGTTTGCTAAAATATTTGCAGCCTCCACAATCTCTTTGAAATCGCTGTCACAAATTGACACTGCTATTTTACCAACGTCAAACCCACAATCGGGCAAGATTTCATAATTTAGGATCATCATATGTGGAAACACAATTCATCACGTTGCACAACACCTTTCTCCAGCTTGGGCATAGCCATGCATACAAATTTACATACTCAAACTAATTGCATACTTGGAGATGAAATCGGATAAAGCACCACAGCAGTGATACACACATACCTACGCCACCAACCACCTTCATTTAGAAGAAAAAACTAAAACCAACACAATCATCATGTATCTGCCCGTGATGCACCATTCTTATTTTTATTGACAAAAAGAAGAAGAGAAGATGCACATCAAGTAGCAGTCTACCACTCAATACTTCAAACATTTCTTTAAATGAAGGATGAATTGAATGTAAGTCTAATTATGGTAATTAAGGAGAGTAAATGTGCAAGTCACCTTCACCACAAGTCACAAAATACACATGTTGCGCATTACAAGTAAGTCCACCTCGCTATTTCGAACCTCAAGACTTTTAATTCTTTTTCTTGTGTATGGATGGAACAAGAATTTCAAAAACTTTGGCAGTCTGAATGACTTCACTTCAAATCTGCATCACATTTTTCTTGAAGGCTCTCGTGCTCGTGGGAACCACCAACCAAGATGAAGTGGTGTCTTTGTACATAA